GTAGAAGTGGAGGATAGGGGCCAGAGGGGCAGACGGCAGAGTCCAATGAAGGGAGAGAAACAAAAAAACAACAACAAAATAGAGCCAACAGCGAAAATCAGGAAAAAAACGAGAAAAATTGACGNGAGATGGGCATCGCTGCCTACGCCGACGGCCAGAGGCCCGCGCATCTACATTTTTTCGCCTGACCCCATCAGTGCCGACCCAACTACACCACCACGCGCATGCCTCGCGGCGGATATGCGCAGCAGCAAGAAGGTTTCGGTCATCCCTTGAGGGTGAGTCTAGCCCTGCTCGCCAGAAAGACCCCCCCCTTCACTACAACCCATGTCTAAGCAAAAGCTTGTCGAGGAGCGAGGGGAAGAAGGGAGAAGAGTAGCATTTTCTATTTTTGACAGCGTAAGCGGCGCGTTCGCGTACGCACATCATGACGTCACGACCTCTTCACCGACGGATTTTTTGTCTTGGTCTTCATGTCAAATCAGCTCTCACAGCACTAGTGCCGTTTTCTCCAACCTGTCTGTGGTCACACGGAAGACCCCCTGTCTACCCTGCCATCCTGCGGTACTTTTCCTTCGATTTTTAGCGCGAGAAGAATCCAGCACTCTCTTCCCTCCGTGTACACACGAACTAGCGCCATCCACAAGGCCAGGAGCGGAAGCGAGAGAAAAACTCACTTTGCAAGAAAAGCTCGCTTACGCCGGGATTCGAACCCCTTACCTGACCTCTAGAAGGTTGCGAGGATACCAGCTAGACCATCGGGGCGACCGCCATGATTCGTCGAAACCAACAGTGCCGAACCTGCCCACCTCTGCCCGACAGGTAGACGGGCAGGTACAATCATTCGGGGTACGCAGGACAGCAGTCGCACGCATCGGCCAGCCATGTTATTCTCTGCAATCTGGAAGCTGAAGCGAGAGAGGGAGAACAGCAGAACGGGTGATGGTTCGATGTTTGTCGTGCAACACGACTGGACAAGAGGGTAAGCCAGTACCGTGAAGATCGCCAGGAAGATGCGGCTCTCTCGACTACCTCTCCTCTCCGGAGTTTTGACCGGATCGACTCTGATATGCTTTCCGAGCGCGGTTCCCGCCGAGTCTACCCAGCCCGACCACCTGACGCTAGACTGGAGTGAGTGGATCGACCCACCAGTGGCGCCTGTGACGGACAACTGGGCCACCAGCAGCATGGAAGAACTGTTGACCACGCCCTGCGTGGATGCTGCACAGACGGGTGGATGCCACCAACTTCGACCAGCACAAGTGCGGACGCTTGTGCACGATTGTGCCCGCCGGTTGAAGGTCGCAGGCAATCTCTGTGGGCATATCGAGACTCCCGTCGTCAAGCATGACTATCGGCTTCCTCATATGGAGTCGGGAGTGCTTCCTTGTGGATTCGAGGTGAGCGTTCGTCTTTGTACACCATATGCAGAAATCAACAAAAAACATCACTGCGAAGATCGACAGGAACTAAGCCGCACTGCTGTGGAGGGCCAGGCGCAATCCAGCTCTGAGATCTGTCACTGCGGCCCGCGTAGCGCAACCCCTCGCATGTTTTTTTTGTACAATACATCATGCGCTGCCACTTTTCATACCACGTGGACTTAGTTCTGCTGTGTAGACTAGTCTACAACATTTTTTTTTGTTTTTCGCGCAAACCTCCTGCAGCTGCTGTATCACCAGTTGACTACAGCAGCAGACAGCAGATCAACAAATATCCGCGCGGTCAGCGACGACGAGGCAGGGGTGAGACCCACGTTGAGTGCTACTTTGTGCAGTAAGTCTCCCTCCTTGGGTACGTACATAGGGATACATGTACACATACCACGCATGGCGTCTTTGCCGACACACGTCCAAGTGTAGACTAATTTACTGTTCATTGCAAGGAAGGGCGGGCAAGGGGCCGCACCAGCGCGCCCCATGAAGAGAACGCTGGTTTCACCTTTCGTTCAGAAAACCGTGTCTGCACCGTGCCGCGTCTACCCCTGAATGAAGAATAACTCTTGTTGTTCTTTCGTTCTTCGGCGGCAATCTTGTACACCAGTTGTATGGATGTATCCACACTACTACTGTAGCAGCCGATGCTGCTGATGTTGTCGATGCTCGGATTTCGCCACAGCAACAACACCCGACGGTGGTCTCGTGGCACTCAGCAGAGGCCCCAATACCACATGGATTCTCCACGTTTCCCCTTGCGGTCCTTGCCTTCAACATTGAACGCGGGGGTTCATTCAGCAGTACGTTCGTGTCGTCTAAAATAGCAGATTCTATGCTCGAGAAATAGAGATTTTGTCTTAAGAAAAAAAATAGTGGCATCAATATTGCCTTCCTTGGGTGATATTTGTGACGGAGATGTTTCTGCTGTCACATGCGGGTGTCAATGCACGCACTCTTCTCCTTGCGCTGTGGACTCGCGCGTCAGTTTTGTTCGAAAATGTCCATCATGTCCATAGACTACCTTGTCTGAATCACTATTTTGTTGGAGGTGATATTCTTGTGCTCGCCCCGGTGGTCTAGTGGTATCCTCGAAAATCGCTAGAGGAGATGGTCGTGGGTACGGATCTCCATCTTGTTGTTGTTGTTGTTGTCTTCACATTAAAAACCATCCCGGTCTCTCTATTCAGCACCTCCTTCTGTCTCAATCTCTCCGTACTAATCCAGCACTTGACTCGGTCAATTTCCGTCGTCACAGGCTAACGTACCTAGAAAAGGTATACCAAAGTAAAATGGACCCCAAGGGTTAGCAGAGCGATAAAATACAAGAAAACAAAAGAATCAGAAACAAATGTAAATAAATAAATAGTGAAACGTGCGCACCACCAGCCTGGGGGGTAGCCTTTCGGAAGGACCCCAAGGGTCAACAGTACGTGCCAGTAAAAAAACAAAACAAAAACGAAATAAACCAAAGACAGACGAGGACATAAACAAACTCGCACAGAGACAGGGATATCCGTAGAGACAGTCTGAACGCGACAGCAAACGGGGGAGAGGGCAACAGAAAAA